CATTCAGTGGCTGCGGTAGGATGCTGTAGGAGCAACTGTGTGAAAGGTTTTATCTGCTGAGGAAACTCTGCACCAGAAAGTATACAAAACATTTGATCCTGGAGCTCTGACATAAGCATGATCACAAGTTAAAAGCACCATGCTGCCCACTCTTACAACACTGGGTCACTGCAAAGTCAACTAGGAAAAAGAATCAACTTTTTGGAAACGGAAAACGTTTCATAATCTATAGCAGACAAAAACACACTCAACTTTTGGAGAAAAAATAATGCTTTTCAAAGGTAAGTTTTTCTTTTTCATTTAAAGGTGCATTAAAACTAGACTTTACAGAGACAATATCATATTTGTTAGTTACAAGCCAACATGAGAATTAAGGTTCAAGAGCATTAAAAACCTATACAACTTAAATTATTTACACAGAAATGACGTCCCATGTATATGTAAGTTGGGCACTGCACCTTTAAGTAGATTTGACTTCAATAACACTTGACTGTTGTCAGTGGAAATCAAGAACAAACTTCAGCATTTGTTATTCAGATTGTAAGTACAGTGTTTTCAATCATTTATGGGGTAAAAAAGTGTGTAAAAGTTATGTGGTTCACCTCTATATGTGCAAGTGCATCATAATATTTTTGCTACAATGTTACGCCTGCTCATCATGTTTTCACACACATGGATAAGTAGCCCTTGATGTTTCCTTACATTCAGCTCTATATGGAGAAAAGATCAAACGAGTTAATTATTACACAATAGCACAAATGACTGTAAAGACGCTTGTGTAGAAACCAGAGTGGATGAAGGAGCGAGATGTGTCTGAATGGTTGAGAGAACAAGGGGACGAGATTATAGCCATGAGAGATGCAGCGAGGGAGATACAGAGGGGAGGAGGAGGTCGAACGTGGGTGTAAAAAAAAAAAAAAAGGAAGAGCAGAATTGGCACTATAGACTGTACTTCGACGCTCCGGGGGAAGAGGAGCGTGCGCGAAGCAGGGGAGGGGACAGAGAGAGACAGCAGCAGCAGAGGAGGCGACCACGGACGCACTCCAACTGATGCTGGAGGCACGGAGCCAGATGCCAAAGGACCACAATTAAAATGGATTAAAACTCAGGTTTGAACTTTGGATATGAGCTATTTCCCCTCACAAAGTATGATCCAAGCAAGTCAAAATCATGGTAAGTCACTTTTTATTTTCTCATGCACCCGAAGTACTGTAAACATAATAGATTTGTCTGATGGAAAATCTCTCCTTCAAAAATGTGTTTGAAAATTGTGCATAGCCTTTGTGGATGTAGATGTTGATTTTTTTTTTTCATTTGACCGTTATCTGAAGTCAAACTAATCCATTCACCCTTTAAAAAAAATGATGTATTTCAATATGTGTTAATATGTATGTTCTCCTTCATGAAAACTCTCTCAAACACCGTTAAGGACAGGAGCAGGTGTATTGCTCAAGGACACAACAGTAGTGTCCAGTAAAGCCAATGCAGCATTCCCAGAGTCTCCCAATTGGAAGATGACAGCTGGTTTGATGAGCGTTTAGGAGTGAAAGTTTCAATTAGAAAATAAGAGTTTAAATATGTTCTGTGGATAATAAGTATTTGTAAATCAATATATTAGTGAAATCAAATAAGTATTGCGAAGAGCTCCACTGTTTTTGTCTTTCAATCAATTAACAGTAATTTATAATGATAATCGACAATAATCAATTACTAATGATATGAATTATAATAAGGAGAAGACATTACTACTATGTGTAAATGTCATAAACTGAGAGAGCGAGTAATACAGACCCCTTTGTGGTTTAGGCGTGTTCTGGTGTGACTCAGTGGTCCTCTGACATGTGGACATGTGTGGGGGGAGTATGTAGCTCATGTGCAGTGGCAGGCGCCTGCAGCCGGCCATTATTTCAGCACAGAGCTGAGGAGCCAGGGGCCTGGCCCCACATGAGCTGCCCTGCCATCAGGGACACATGTCACAGTGGAGACACTTCAGCACAAGTCCTGTTTGCTCCATCAGAGGGCAGTGCAGGAGCTGTGCCAGAGCCACGCAATCAGGGATATTCACTATCCCCACTATCACCAGCCTGAATACACTGTATTTATCAACAGAATCTGTAATTGAGGGTTCAGCGGGTCACAAGAATCTCCAAAACAAAACAAAAACAGGAAAACATGTGTCATGACCTCCCCCAGAGGTCTTTGCTCTTAACAATTTTCTCACTGCTTTGAGGCAAAGGATATTTTTCCAATAGAAAATTGTGAAATCCGTATTCTTTGCTTTTAGTACTTTTCACTGAGGTATGACCAATTGGCATGATCTTGAGCTGTAAATCTAATGAAATAACAATGACTTTTCAGTACAAGAGTAAAACAAAACGGTTAACTATGAGTCACCGTGCACTCTGTTTTCTGCAGCTTTGTCCTTCATTCATTAAACTTAACTTTATTATGACACTGCTGTGCGTCAATGTCAAAGCTCACAGGCCAGAAATCAGCCAGGCACTTAACAAACTCCAACCATCAAGACCATTGTTAGAAAGAAAAGAAAAATCACCCAACGAAATTGGCTGTTCAAATATGTTTTTGATTGCACCATGCATCAGCCAGATCGTTACTAAAGTATTCTGGGAGTCATTATCCCCCATATCAACTCTCAGACCAATTATAAACCATATCATGTGAAAATGTTTTTATTGATGTAACGCCAACACTAAGGCTTTTATGAAACAGTATCTTCAGATCTCGTGTATGAACATTTTTGACACAATACCATTGATGGATAATACGATACCAATAATAACGTGTCTTAAATGAATAACTTCTCTGAACCTAGGCAGAGACTATCTTCATTTTTCTTTCTACCCCAGGTATTTCCCCACCAGAATCAATACTTATTTCCCAGAGAAGACAGCAGTGGTTCATTGGTGCTGTTTGCTCTGTTGCAGATGCTTAGTTGGTGTTTCCCTTCAGGAATACACAATGCATCGTCCATAGCTTTAGATTGCTCCGTACATTATTTAACTTAATAAAAATCATGGATATAATATATATATATCAGGGACGTGCAGTCAGGGGAGGCAGGGGAGGCAGAGCCTCACCTGCCATTATTGGAAACTAATAATTATTTTAGTTTAAATATATAATTTATATCCACTGTCCTATGCTTTTAATGTATATTCGGCACGGTTCCCATCAGTTTTGATCATTTCTGAAGTCAAAATCGCCGAAATCCCGTTATTCCTATTCAAAGAGACGAGGTGAGGCAGCGCTCCTGCGTGCCTCACCCCAGACCGCTCCCTCACAGTGTGTGTGTGTGTGTGTGTCTGAGTGCACTCAGCTCGTGCAGTTGATATATCACCGTTTGTTTCAAATATCCTGCTTTAAAAACCTTTTTTAAACTCCTCTTAGTGTTTAGTAGTGTATTGCACGTATGTGTGTACAATTTATATTTAGTTTAAGTCTTTTGATCGTAGATGAACACACAAGGAAAAAGCTTGGCGTGAGGCAGGCGGTATCTGTGCCTCACCGCTAGGGGTGATAGTGAGCATAAAGTTCATACCAGAGTTGCTAACAAACAATCAGCCCAAAATGCTATTTCTTTTGCTGGAAAATGGATGATTTGAATGAAGATTTTTTTTCTCAATTGGACTTTCAAACAAAGAAAGAATTAATATAGACTGGGAGACCACCACTGGACTTACGAGGTTAGTCCGGCTGCGGGGGAGGAGTTTGTTAATCTGTGTTTTATGTTGAACATTGACAGATACCGGCAAAGTAGTGCTTTTCCGAAAAACACTGATTCAAACACTGCTCAAGAGTTCTGCAACTTGTTTAAATTATTGTTTATGTTCCTCGCGTCTCTCTCTCCTCGCGTCTCTCTCTCCTCGCGTCTCCGTCTCTCTCTGCTCCTCGCGTCTCCGTCTCTCTGCTCCTCTCTGTCTCTCTCTGCTCCTCGCGTCTCCGTCTCTCTGCTCCTCTCTGTCTCTCTCTGCTCCTCTCTCCTCGCGTCTCTCTCTCCTCGCGTCTCCGTCTCTCTCTGCTCCTCGCGTCTCCGTCTCTCTGCTCCTCTCTGTCTCTCTCTGCTCCTCGCGTCTCCGTCTCTCTGCTCCTCTCTGTCTCTCTCTGCTCCTCTCTCCTCGCGTCTCTCTCTCCTCGCGTCTCTCTCTCCTCGCGTCTCTCGCACCTGCGCTTCTTAAAGATGTTGTTTGATGCGGAGCAGAGTCAGCAGCTAGATTTGTTGTGAGATTATTAAAAGAAGCTGGTTCTCTTATCTTTACAGTATATAAAGTTTGTGGATGTCATTGCATTGGTGATTAAATGCTATTTTATTTGAATAATGATTGTAAATCTGACTTTTAAAGTCAGTGCCTCCCCAATCACAAACCTCACCGCACGTCCCTGATATATATATATATATATATATATATATATATATATATATATATATATATATATATATATACCCTCAGACGTTACCCTGGCAAACAAGGTCTGCGTCAGGTGCTAAGGAACCCAGACAACATCACATTAGAATGTTTCTGTTTAAGGTCTAATAAACCGCAGGATGTTGAAATATATTGTTTGGTGTAATTCATATGTTAAATGCAGGAACACTTTGACTTGTCCTCCTCTTTTCATTTTGGTCATGGCAACAGTTGCTAAGGAGGAGAAACTATTTTGCTGGCTCTAAAATTCAACCCTTTCCTTAAACATGTTTTTGAGAGTCTACGGAACAAAAAAAAATAATTGTTGTAATGTCTAATGAGAGTGTGAGTGTTTTAAGTGAAATAACCAACGATGAGGAGTATGTATGCTTTAAACACATTAGTGGAGTAACAACTTGTTCTTGACTCTGCATCTTAAGTTTAAACCATATAAAAACACTGCTTTATCTTGGACAATATACAATCACGAGTGTGTTCAAGGCAAATCGGTCATTACTTTGTTCTATGGAGGCACATACAGTGCATGTTTCTAGCCCTCTGCTCTCCTGTTGGCAGATGCATGTCTCCGTGCGCCTCAGGACTTGCCACAGGGAAGCCATCCGCCTGTCATCTCCACTCAAGGTAACGGCTATGAGGCCCCCAAAGATATACCTTCCTTTTGTTAATGCACCAGGACTCAGGGAAAGGTCACAGTTTACAGAGAGGGGATATGGGGGTTATTTTCATCTGCACGCTGGATTTTGAACAATGTTTACTTTGTATCTGCTTTCTTACTATATTCTATTTTAAAGGTGATGTCAGAAACTTCAATTGTATTTCATTTTTCGAATAGTTTTAGCTTTTTTTTTTAAATCATTTTTTTACTCTCTTTCAAGTGCAATTTTCTGTCTGTACTAACGTTTACAATTTGTATTTTATTTTGAAAAACTAATAAACAAAGTTTGAAAAAAATATATATAATAATTATAATAAAGGGGTTTTCCTTGGCATAACTACTTCCAATATGATTTTATGGAGGAGAATGTTAGGCCAATGAAAACAGGAATCATCTGCAGGATTTAAATGAATTCTGTTCAATCAGGAAGCAGTGAGGATGAGAATGGGCGGGTCTAACTGGAACTTGCTCTGGAAAAAACTTCAGTTCTCGCAATTCAAAATTGATGACATTAAAGCTGGAATACCTCACTTTCGTTTTGTTTTGCATGTTTCCCAACTGAAAGAGTCTTCTTTATCTTCAATAGAACCAAACAGTTTTGAGAACAGGAACTGGGATTTTGAATCATTGTTATTGTTTTGTGGTTTCAAAGTTTGGTTCTCCACCTCTATTCACTGTTTCTGGTTCTACTCATACCCCCATCTCCCCAGAACACACCTGGGCAAACTATAGGCTGAGGGTCACACATTTGTATGTACGGTACATGGACCCTTCCCAGTAATCAATTGTCAAAAACATGAATCTGTAAAAAAGTCTACTATACTCTTACTTCTTAGACTTTGATCCAGTTTTGGTTTACTGCAATCAGTAATTTTCCCAAAATATCTTTCCTTTTGTGAAACAGGTGAATACAAAACAACTGCCACAGATACTAAAATTAGCTTTAAAAACAAAGCACCAGATGTTTTGGCTCCATGTTTCCCTCTCCTTCTGTTATGCGCTGTATTCACACATACTTTCATAACCGAAACCACAGAAAATATGTTTTGCCAAATTGAATTAAATGGTAACCTCTGGAACCCTGCCTCAGAGCCTCTGTCCTCCAGGAGCCATTACATCAGTAATGCAGACACACAGAGGGCTGCGATGAAATGCATTCGAAATCTTTCTGGTGTTTTGTTTGGGAAGTTGATTGAATGCTGGCGATAGCTTCTATTCACAGCTTGACAGAGAACACTTCATTTCAATTTAGAGTTACGTTTCTTGGTCAGGGGTTGCTTTTCTCCCACAAACTTAAGTTGTAGCTTTTAACTCGTCTCCTTTTGAAAAGCTTCCAATATGAATTATACACAATGTCCTCATATTATTTCTTAATTTTGTGAACAAGAGCTTTGTACATCGCCTCCTGTCAGATATTCAAACAAAGCATTTAAGCCACATAATTGAATGTGTTTTGTTGAATAGAAATTCAAAGGAATAGAAACATTATTCAGTTGCATTTGTCGCAGTCTTGTCACCAAAGGCAAATTAAATTAGAAGCAAATCTACACAACTACCAGAAAAATATTTGAAATTAAATGTAATTGAACAATGAAAAATCCTCAAGTTGGGTTTATTGATTGTGACTCCTCAGGTGCACAGCCTAAAGCTGTCCTGGATGCCCTTGCTATTGTCCAATGAGCATTCAGCAGCATCAATGATTAAAGCCAAGGCTCTGATGGTTGAGCAGAGGCGGCAGCAGCAGCAGCTCAATTGTTGAGCTGAAGGATATTGTAATTAGAACTCTCAGTCAAACCAGAGAATGTTTTCTAAAGAAAGAATTTTCAGTGTAGTCTTTGTTCTAGTCTCTCTTCAACTCAAAATCAAAACTATACAAGAACTGTAATTACACATAATACATTAAATGCTGATAATTACCGGTCATACCTTAATGATGGGTATTTAAGGTATAGGTGTTCTGTCAAACAAAAGTGGTATGATTTCTTGTTGCACAGGAGACATATGATGGGATAATGTGCTTATTATCATTAATTCTTGAGAAATCCTGTGACCTACATTTTATTGCTTTTTTATGTAAACATATTTTGCTCATTATTGCAGAATATGATTGTAAAAGTAATGATCCATGTGTGATAAACTTTGCACCAAATACCTCATTTTATGTCTGCATTAAATTAGGTTTGGACCAAAAAAAAGGCCAGTGCCTATGGAACAAGCCGAGTGCGACAATGCGCAGCTCAAAATATGAACCAACCAAGCAGCTTTTCTGATGCAATTATTTTCACATTGACACTGGCATGAGAATGAATTCAGAATGAGTATTTTGATACTTCACACCGAGCCCTGATGAGAACTTCACTGTGTGTGGAGAGAATAGAAAAATATCTGAACACTGAAAATTGTAAAGGTGACTTTGGTCTGTAAAATGAGCTATATAAATAATGATTATTTACTTACTTTACCGATGTAGTTCAGGATTAGTTTTACCTCAGACTTTTTAAAGTCAAATATGTTTTACAATAACATTTAGCACTTATTAATGCACCAAACTTAATGAATGCCTCTGCCAGTTGTAGGAAATATGTTTTGCACCACTGGCAAAGCTTCTATTATTGTACATTTCACAAACACATACCACACAGGCATTTTATCACATATAATATGAATTTGTTTGTGTCCTTGCTCAGGCTCATGGCATTGTCTGACAGGAGGCCGTCTGCACTGAAGGCACCAGCGCTCTTGCTTTGGCCATGACAGCTCTCCTCTTGAACAGCAGCAGTGTCGTGGGGAGTACAGTCACTCTGCCCCGTATCACTGACCCCCTAGTCAACCTGAGCACCCCCACCCCACCTGGGACTGCCCCCCTCTGCACCTTGTGCTGCTGCGGAGTCCTGAACCGTACCCTGGCCGTGGTGTTCATGATCATCCTTGCGTTTGCCATTGTTGTGGGAAATGTCATCACTCTGACTGTCTTTGTGCAAACAAGGCAGTCCAGGACGCCACAGGGATATCTCAAAGGTATTTTTCCCCCATTGAACAAGTTGCACACAGCCAGAAAAATAGAACATCATGTATAAGCTATTCAATTAAATTCCAAAAGAGACACAGAGTAAATATTATAATCAATGTGAGCTCTTTTCATATATAGTAATATTGAAGATATTATTGTTCTACATGCAGGAACGTTGTTGCTCGATTTGATTGTACTTTTGTCAAAATCATGTAAACCTCCGCTTTCATCGTGCGAATATTCACATTTCCTTTTAATAAATTATGAGAACCTTTGCTCTCAAATTCCCCCGAGGTCTTACTTCATAGAATAGATTAAAAGGGTTTTGTAGGGCTTCCAATCGCACCGAATACATGCATTCAAATGAACTCCCTGTTTCTCTTGGCAGTGTCTCTGGCCATAGCTGACATGATGGTGGGAGTTCTTGTGGTCCCCTTCTCCATCTACACTGAGGTCTCCCTGATGATCACCAGCGTCCCTCCAGACTGGTACCAGGGCAGTTCCAGCTCCCCGGCTCTGTCCACGGCTATGGGCGGCCTGGTCAGTCCCTGGCAGCCCTGCATGTTGATCGGGCCAATTTTTGCCGGCTGCACTTTTGTATCCATCAGCACCATTTTCCTGATGACCGTGGAGCGCAGCATCGCCATTCTGAAGCCTCTGCATAAAGACGCTTTGGTAACTCGGAGGCGAACTCTGCTCCTCATTCTGCTTTCCTGGGCGGCAAGTTTTATGTTAGCAATGGCGCCACTTATGTTCAGCCGTAACTTTACAATGGAGTACAACGAATGCAGTCGGATGTGCAACTACACCCCACTTCTTCAGGGTGGACAGTTGCCCCCTGATGCTAATATTTTACTGCTATTCCCCGCGTTTGACTTTACTCTTCTAGGTGGCACACTGGCCGTCAATATTGTGTCTTTTACGAGCATTCGGAGATACACGATCAAGCGCAAACTTCTCTCCGAGGGTAGCGTGAGTGAAGCAGCAGGTGGAACCAGTAGCGGATGTCAACACAGACCTTCTTTCTCTGACATCAAAGCGGCGAAAACAATAGGGATCCTGACTTTTGCCTTCACAGCGTCTTTCTCGCCAATTGCTGTGTTTGTGCTGGGAAATGTCGTTGGATACACGTGGTGCAACTTTTCATTTTTCGCCTTTTGGATACTGACTTCAAACAGCTGTTGTAACGTCATTATCTACAGCGTGAGGGATCACCGCTTCAGGAAGGGCGTGACATTGTTGTTTCAGAGGGAACAGTCCCCACCGCACGGGGAGAAATCTTAAGCATCTCACCTACATCTCAGGTGCATGTCAGGGTGCAGACAAAGCAGAGTGCAAAAGAACCTTGATGAAATGCTTGATCTTTATAAGAAATGGACTGGACTTTTCAAAAAGAAATATAGGATTTTGGGAAATTGAAGTAAGTCAAGTAATCAGGTGGGCCAAGATGCATTCACTGGCTGGTGTTCATTATACAGTGAATATAGATGTATTCTATTGATACAATGCCAGTGGGATCTGTGGCGACAGTTTTTGAATGATCTTTTTAAATCTATCTGTGTGATGTTTATCAAAAAATAATTACATATAATGATTAAAAAAATAAATGCATGGGACCAAAATCTTCATCATAAGGTTAAGGGTGTTGAACATGATGCTACTTTGATTCTCCTTAAAAAGTAAACGTGCTCTCATACATCTTCATATCAAGCAAAGACTTTGGTAAGAAACATATTTAGTGCATGTTTGCGCGGAGACAAATCTATTATTCATGAGTTTCAGCCATCTGCTCCATGCAACAATCAAAATATGTGTGTTACTCACAGCTGGCAACCCACAGATACATATGAAATCCAACACCAAAACCTTCTTTCTGAAGAGAGCACCAAAAGCACTATTTTGTGAGCACACAATAGGTGCCAGTTGGTCCAAACTTCAAAGGCGAGACTCACAAACAGATTTAGTTTGTGTGTGCTGAAACAGGCAGCGTAACACAGTGGAAATGGGCCCCTCAGAAAATAGACTTTAAAGAATCTTAGAGCCTGCATTACAAGATGCAAGATTCTTTCACCCCAACAGTCATGATACTCCATCCGTTAATTGCTTAGTGCATTATTACAAGTAGTTTATGTCAATATAAAACACATTTGACTACGACTGTGCTACGGTAAGAACGCTTTCAGTGTTGTTCCAAGCACAAGTGAGAATGACTTTGAATGGAATGTCTTGAATACAAAACAGGAAGAGAGTTAATTATTGAGAAAGTTCCCTATTCTGAAGAGAAGTGTGAACGCACCTTAATTATAAATTGTTTTGGGCAGGATTAGAGAGATAAAAAGGAATGCTATTGATCCTACATGTTCTCGACAAGAGGCTTTTATAGAAGTGTTTTTAATTAGATGGATGAATCTGACGCAAACGTTATGCATTCAAAATTATGTTTCTGAATAAGTTATCTTCTTGAGCGCTCTGAATATTTTTCAGAATAATGAATTTTACTTCCCATGACACCACAGGGAGAAAGAGGAACATACCATGTTTTTTCAAGTTGGATTATATACAGTATAAACCGTGTCTCAAGCCTCAGGATCATGTGCATTTTGTACCATTATTTTTCCATTTCACACTCAGATTTCCACTCCAAGGGCCTCTCAGGTGCAAACAGTTGGTACATCCTTCAATAATGTTTCTTTTGTTCATTCACGCAAAAAATATTCATTTTGAATAACAATTACAATTTTCAGGTACATTTTCTTCTTCCAAAACAAGTACCGTATGTGTGCTCAATCATATATTAATTTTTGAATAGGGGACTTGTATGTTTGACTTGTATAAAAACCATGAGGTCCAGATGAGATGTAAATGTCCAGATTAAACAGACGGTTCTTCAGACCCCTCAACTGTGCAGAACTCTTCTTCAGGGCATTGGCTTTATCGTGGATGTGTATTTATTATTGTTATTGCTTGAACTGTATTGTACAAACTGAAGCAAAAAATGTGTAGTTTGACTTTTATTTATCAAGCCATTCGAGTGCTAATGAATAAAAAGAATGACATGCTGAAGATATTGTCTGAAACCATTTTGTTTGTCTGAAAAAACAGAGTAGAGCTTGAAGAGCACTCGAGGCCTTTATCTATTTCTGCTTTAATGCACTGTCTTTAGATGTGCTTATTGACTACGGATTCAGAGGTAAAGCCCCATAAAGATAATGTTCCTTCACCAAGCAACAGCTGAATGAATAAATCCTTCTAAAGAAAACATTATTATTTGATTACTGTGGTTCGCATACATATAAAACAACACACATATAATTTACTGGGTTGTGCATGTAATAGTGCAAAACTGAATATGGAAAAAGGAAATATTGTCATCAAAACATTTGCTGTTGAACTATTTGTTTACTCGGGACCACATCCACATGTTGATTAGAACTGTCACTGGATTGGAGAGGGAGGAGCTGATAACTGGCAGCTGGGAATTAGCTGTCAGCTGGATCTGCTGCAGCTGCAAGTGAAAAAGAGGCGAGAAACCTATATATGCATATAGAGTAAACATTATCTCCCTTTTGATGAAATGTATTGATTTCCATTTGAACAAGTCTCACACTGAGCCAACTCTAAAAGATTACAGTCACATTTAAATCTGAACAGACTCATAACAGATGGAGATTAATTAGAATGATGTTTATGGAGTTTTACGTTTGCATTAAATATATTTGAGCTGCATGTTTTTGGTACTCAGGCATAACACATTGTATCACATGTATCACACATATTTATTGCCATTATATGCTAGTAGAAGTAGAAGTGATGAAACAATAACCTGGAGAGAACATCACTCTGTTGTGGTGATGGGGAGGAGGAGGGTTGCGGTATGAGCTGAGTAGAGATGTAGCACTGTCTAAATGAAGTGAAGGCAGTTGAGATCAAGCCCAGTCTTCCAGCTTGAACTTTAGCTTTGTGTGTTGTGATTGGTGACGAGTTTGAATTTCCGTGACAAATGTGGGATAAAAAAAATATTCTAATGAAAGTAAAACTTCAATTTATAAGTTATTTTAATATTTGTTACTAGTTTCCTCTTTCCTCTTCCTACAAAACCTTTGTGAAAAGAGACTTATCAGTCACAGACCTAGAGTGGTTTTTAGATCGATTCAACAGGATCTTCTGACACAAACTTAACTCCACCCTTTCTGTCTAAAAGCTCCTGTCTCTGTCCCTTATAATAAGATGTAATTGTACCACTATGACCTCACTTATTCTCTGATGTAAAAAACGACATTTTACAATTATGGCTGTGTTTGCAGCGGGAACAGTTCTTGTTTATGAATAAAAAACATGGGGATTACATGTAGATATTTTACCCTAGATACATCTCTTGCCTCATACATTGTGTTCACCTGACGATATTATTTCACGATCTTAAACATGAAATGACAAAGTATAAAGGTCTCCTCATAATTTTTATCGGTCAAACATAATATAGTATATGCATAATTCTTCTGTAAGACTCAGCTGTTTCGTCCTCTATCAGACACAAACTGATTATAAATGCACATTCATATGTATATGAGAATACAAAGGGTCACGGTAGCCAGTACAATTATATGCAAATTTAGACCTAAGTGTGCAGGGAGCCATTACCATGTCCTGATTTTGTATGTGGGTTATACCAAAGAATACAAGCCCATGAGGGAGATAGCTCACAATTTTGTAATAGCATCACCTATCAAACATGTGATAAATTTATGACCTGAGTTAGGTAATTACATTCTTTTTTTTTTGCTCTCACTGTGACTCGATGCCCTTCTCTCTGCTGCAAGAGTCACTTGTTTTCGCAGTTACAAGGATCGGAAACTGCTTCAGATGCTTCTCCCTGCCGCTCTGACTCTGCTGGGATTACAATGATCTAATCCCAATGGGGCAGGCTCACCTTTTCTTTGTCACTTCAAAAGTGAATGTAATGTACAGATGCCGTTGATGTTGATATAATAATTTAGCAATTTTACCCAGAGTTGAGAGTGACACTATTGACACTTGAACTGATATGAGAAGATATGAGCACATGTGAAGAGGAATTGTAATAGTAGCTGAACTGGGTCGTGATCATGCATCTGAAAGTTACATTATGGTAGTGAGTGCCGAGGAGAGAGGATTTATCAGCTAACAGCATGCAAAGATCTCCTGATGCAATGAAACACGTTATCAATTCATTTTCCCACATTGAAGTTTTAGGGAACCATTCCATTAACAAAGTCTAGATTTGGCATGTCTCTGTCTTACTAACTTAAAGAAGCCTTTGAAATTATTGAAACAAGTTCATGGTGTCATTCAGCCAACTTCAGAGCAGCTAATACATGCATGCTGTTCCTCATTGTAAAGCTAAGAACCTCTGGAACCCGGTTGTTGAATCTAGCTGGTGAAATAGTACACATTTGTCATTCAGCCAACTTCAGCTCCATCAAATGTGAATCGGTATAGACATGGCATACTTTGTTTTAAAGCTCACAACCAGTGACAACATTTGTACGATCTGTTGTCTGTCCCTGGACATTAGTCGCGTTTCCACCGCAGGATTTCCTGGTAAAAGGAGGGGGGTGGGACTTCTGCATGAACCGTCCTCTGACTCGGCCTCTCAGTGGCCGTGTCTCCACTGCAGAGTAGGACGATCATTAATTATTTATTTTACGTTCGGAACTGCTCCGGGTTGTTGTGGTCTTTAGATTTTTATAGTTCTATTTCTTTCTTTTTTTTTTACTTTTTATGGCATTGTTTTGGAGTGTGATGAATCAGGACTGTAGAGGAGCTGAGGAGCTCTCTCAGTGGAAGACTGACAGCTAATTTCCACAGTAGGCGTTAACAGCGCGTAAGTGTTGACTGCGCGCACATGCGCGTAACATTACTCGGCTGTATGTCCACTGGCCGTGCGCGCAGGTCCGCAGCTTTTGAAGCTGTCCCCGTGTAGTCTCTGGAGAAGTGTAGGGGACAGTACGGGCCAGAGCACTGATGTAGAGCACACAAATCACATGTATTGTAAGTGTTTGTCTTCATGGTCTCTGTGAGCTGGTTTTGCCAGACGCGAGACTTTATGAACGATGTCCAGAATCTCTGTAAAACCTGCTGCTCCTGTGTGTGTGCGTGTGCGTGTGTGTGTGTGTGTGTGTGCGTGCATGTGTGGATGCGATCTAGAGCAAAGGACCGCATGTTTCCTATGTGTTTTGACTGGGAGATGCGTTGATGCGTGCACAAAATTAGAAATCCATCCTGGTTATACATCCTATGACGGA